ACTTTTGTTACTTGTTGCTCATTACAAATTATCTTATCACAAAACTATCTATTACCTGTAATTTCAGTGCTTGCAGAGAATACCTTGCTGAAAACAGCTTATCATTTCCTTCTGCTCCTCGTTGGGTTCGACACTCTTACTTATCGAAAGGACTATGATAGATCCCCTATACTTGTGGGTCATCGGTCACATGCATGGATAGGACAGCTAGCATAAGACTTCCCAACTCGTGCAAAACAGTGTATTTGCGTCATCGTAGGTTTTTACGGAAAAATCACCCATATCGAAAGATGAAAGTTGAATTTGATGGTACGACAAAGGCAGCTGAGGTCCCAAGACCCTATGAAGGGGGGGTGGTCCACAACATGGCTAAAAAAATTATGTTGTGCTTGGCAAGAACCACCCTTTGCGGTGAAACTAACACCTAAGGATCAAGTGTTTAAGAAGAAATCAGTGTTCTGGAAATTACCTTACTGGGAGATTCTACGTGTACATCACTGCATCGATGTCATGCATGTAGAGAAGAACATATGTGAAAGCATCCTTGGTACTCTGCTCAAGATTAAAGGTAAAAGAAAGGATGGTGACGGTTCATGGCTCGATATGCTTGCTGATCAATCAAAATGCAAGAGTGAAGCAGAAGATGATGACAAATTCATCAAAGCTCGCCAGAGTTCAATTTAAGTACAAAAGAAGCAACACAGTTCTTCACCTATTTGTTGTCAGTTAAGGCACCCTCTTCCTACTACGCAAACATCAGAAGTCTCATGGATGTGAGCTTAGGTAAAATGAAGTTGGGACGCATGAAGTCACATGATTGCCACATAATGTTGACACAAATCCTCCCGGTGGCCATCAGGAATCTGATGGACAAAGATATAAGAAACACACTCATTGACCTCTGTGATTTCTTCAACCAACTATGGTAGAAAGTTGTAAATCCTCAAGAGTTGGATCATATGAAAGATGATATTGCAAGAATATTGTCCAACCTAGAGATGTTTTTCCCACCGTCATTCTTTGATGTCATGGTCCATCTCACTATGCACCTTGTCGACGAGATAAAGTATTGTGGTCATGTGTTTCTTCGCAACATGTACCCCTTCGAGCGGTTCATGGGAATACTGAAGCGCTTTTGTCGGAACCGAAACCATCTAGAGGCAAGCATCCTACAAGGTTATACCGCAGAGGAGGTGGTTGAGTTTTGCACCGAATACATGAAACAAAGACCTATAGGTTTGCCCCTCTCTCGCCACGAGGGAAGGCTGAAAGGTAAGCCGGTCCTTGCTGGCACGCAAATGGTTGCACCCGGAGAATTGGCAGAGAAAGCCCATTTGACGGTACTGCTTAATAGCCTAGTTCTCATCGCTTATGCCGAAGAACACTTGGCGGAAATACACCAAAGCTTCTTACAAATGGTGCCTTCATCAGAAGTGGAGATGAAGGAGCACACTAAGAAGTTCGTTGAATGGCTGAAGAATCGTTTGGCACAAGGATCCATCGATGACATTGCTACGTGGTTGGCATAAAAGCCATCACCTATGGTGTCGACGTACCAAGCATATGACATAAATGGATACACGTTCTACACTGAGGAACATGATAAGAAGACCTCGTATCAGAATAGCTCTGTTCGAATAGAATGCATGACTATAAATAAAGCTGAGAAAAGGGTATACTATGGAACCATCAAGGAGATTTGGGAGCTTGACTATGTGAAAGTTAAGGTGGCATTATTCAGGTGCGCATGGATCCCTCTTGGTCAGGTAAGGATTGATGAGTACAGGAAGACCTGTGTTAACAGGACAACGATGGCATATCACGCGGACCCATCCATTTTTGCTAGCGATGCTACCCAGATTTTCTTTGTGGAAGACCCCTTGCATAAGAACGGCCATTTAGTGATGCATGGGAAGAGAAGGGTACTTGGTGTCGACGATGTTGCCGATGAGGACGAGTACGATGAATTTGATGAGTTGCCAAGCAAGGAATCACGCACCCGTGCAACAGAGCAGCGTAAAATCATCAAAAACCCCAAGTTCATTCGGGGTCAACTTAATGATCCCAGTTCCCCCATGTACATGGGAATTAAGCCATGAGACTAGTCTTTATGCCTACCCTGCAACTTAATTCGTTCAATTTAGAACTGTCGCGTGTATTGAATTTGTGAGTTATGTCTGGTTTTCTGTTGATGTAAGAATCGTTAATATGTTGACCTTGATATGATGTCAGCTCAGGCAATGAATATGAACTGTTTTTTGTTATTATTATTATTATTATATCATAGAGGTAGCACACTCAATCGATCTCACTACGGTATGTGTGAACAAAAATATGCAATCTTGTTTGCGAATAGCACACAGTTCATTGATGAAAGCCGTGTGCCGACCAAACCCCGCCATCCCGCCCACGATCTGAGTCGTGCTTTCTGATTGGCCAGAACCCAAACCCCACAGATCGTACATCTGCACCATTGGATACTCCTAGATCGAACGGCGATCCTCACCCCTTTCGATAGCAGATGCAGTTCAGGTTGTAATTTTATTTGTATGCACAAAATGCATGTTAATCTCAAAAAATGTCTTAAATATAGCTAACGATACCTAAAATGCGCCAAAAAATCAAACCCGTGGTATAATGGTGATTGCGTACCGTTGAAATTTTTATGAGGCCAAACGATGAAGTCACCGGCCACAGGAGTTTGAATTGACATGTCTCCTTTTGTAAAACCATTATCCTTCTTGTGAGATGCTCCGGTTTGGAAGGAGCGGTCATCAAAACGTGTGCCAAACTTTACCAATTTTTTTCCACGGGGTTGTGAGAACACGCCACAGGCACACATCAATTTTGATGATGTCTGAACTCCATCTGAATTTTCTATAATTAAAATACCAACTAGGCCTACACGAGTGGCCACACCTCGCGACTGAAATGTTTGAAACTTCTCCCCGCTTCTCGAACAAACGGATGAACACTCACAAAGCGGCGCACAAATGATCTGTACACCTTTGTTAGGCTGATAGTAAGTGGTTATCATAGCTAGTGTCATGCATGCCAACTAGGCAATTTTGATGAGCTGTCATAGAATTAATTAAATGAAGAAAGAGAGGGTTAAGTATCATGTCATGAAACCGTATCATAATAAATGTTATGCTACTATGTGTCATGCATGACAATATAAATAAAGTACTACATATGATACTAGCTACTCTATGATACTATGCATTACAGCAAGTAAGTACACAATAGAGTGACATAAGACTAGCTACAATGGATAGTAACATAGAATGTTACTAGTCTATGTTACGTCAAGCGATGAGAAAAGACTAGTTTGCAACATTGGCTTAAATGACCATTAGTTTCTACCTTGGTACCTGTCATATGGGTTTGTGGACTTGTATACAAAAATGGAGGAAGTACTATAGTAAGACTATACCCACAGTGGGAGTAACATAGGTAGTAACATGTAAGGTGGGCCAACAGTTGATAAACTAGTACGTATATAAAACTTATTATTGTACATGCCCGCTAAAAGGTTGGTTGTATATGACATGGCAACTTCTTATAGCCGACCCTTGGCTGTATTATTAACCATGCTCTTAGTGAGGTAGCTAGTATATCATAGACGACTAGATAGTATCAGACTTGCCACAGTGGGAGTAACTTCAGCAGTAACACCGACTCTAACTCAGCAAACTTGCTTATGTGGCAATAAGTCAATGAGAAGAGAGATAGTTTCAGTAACTTAGCTAGTTACTGTAGCATCACATGTCCCAATGGAATATGAGTCTGTGACCTAAGAAATGAAGTTTTGCATGACACTACACTTATGTTACTATCCACTATGAAGGTATTAACATATATAGTCTAGGGATATGTGTATGTTACTAGTATACTACTCTTCATTGTGGCTAGTCTCATACTCCCTCCTTTCCAGTTTAGGCTGGTTGTAATGGTATTATCATAAGCGGTATCATGCATGCCAACTAGACTTTTTGGATGATGTGGCACACAAGAGAGGATGTGGTATCATATCATGATACCGTGACATATTAAATGTTGTACTACTACTTTGTGTGATTCATGACAATTAGTAAGGCAACCTAAGATGTTAACTTATGATACTATGCATTACGGAAGTAGTATCCTAACTACACTATCATATATATGCATCATACTACTACTAGTATACATATACATATATACATACATATATATATATATGAAGTAATACTATTCTAATTCTGGGATCAGAATAGTTATTTGGATCACGATCGGCCTATAAGGACGCGCAGAGACTTTCCCGAACTTCCGAACCCGCAGATAAAAAAACCACCCAGTCCCCCACCTCATCTGCCCTGATTCCTCCCGCGCCGCCCCCTCCCCTGCCCCGGGAACCAGCCGCCACCGGTCCCAAATCCGGTCGCCGCGCCGCTCTCTCCCCGGGATCCTACCGCTGGGCCGCCACCGCCCCCGGATTCGGCCGCTGATCCACCCCCGTCCATGAATTCGACCGTCGCGCCGCCTTTCCCCCCGGATCCGATCCCGCCGCCTGTCTCCCTGCGCGTCGTCGGTGTTGACCAGCTGAGAGTCGCCGCCACGCCAAGATCCATGCTGGAGGTCCACTACCTGTCCGTCTCTGATCTCCCATGCTCCTCCCCCCGAGTTCTTCTCTTCCTCTGTCGCCGTAAGCCAGCCACGGTGAGCGTCGTCCATCCCCGTCAACTCTCTCCGACCTTTCCCGTCACCGTCCCTCGTATCTGGCCGCCGCGCCACCCTGTCCCTGGATCCGGCGTCCTGCCTCCATCGTGCCAAAACCGCCTACGACCGACCATGCTGGAGATCGACGACACGGTCTCTCCACCAATCCCCAGCACCACCTTGTACAAACCTGCATCTCCATCACCCCCGCCCCTGGTGCGGTCGTCCTCTCCTAGCGCATCTCCGGTGCGGTGCTGATCCGTCGGCGACGCCCCACCCAGCCCAGCGCTTCACCGGCGATGCCCCTCCCATCCCAGCTCTCCACCGGCGCTGCTCCTGTCCAGGGCGTTCAGCAGCGGCCATGCCGCTCAATGACACAAACAAGGAGGCATGGAGCTCCGACTATGTATGGGAGGCAAGCTGCTGCTGCACTTGGTCTACCCGATGGTCGTTGTTCTGGATGTACTTGGACGGCAGGTGCTACTGGACGTCGGTGTGTGCCCTTGTTTCTACCCTTGGCCATGGACGCCGTCACCCACCTTGTTTCTACCCTTGGGCACTCCTCGGCAACAAAGACGGAAGTACACATTGCAGTCCGGTCGAGTTTTGTTTAATATGCAGTTCAAATTTATAGTACAGAGGCGGAGAATACCTTGTAGTCCGGCCAAGTTGTCTCTACAGCCCGCCTCCAGTACTGCCCCGCATGTGTTCTCTCTGCTGCATATGTTTGTGCTCACTCTGAGAGAGCAAACATTGAGGGGGCTTCACTTCAGAATTAACAAAAAAAGATTGCTGCTCTCTGTGTTGACCGTGATAGAGTACTTCGTTTATTTGTTTTTCATGTAGCATTACATTCTAGTAATGATGTTGGCTATGGCAACAGCAGCAATTTCCACTTGCAGCTGTTTTCAATTTCTGCATTTCTTCTACAGCGAACAGATGAGAAGAACGGTCACAAGGATTTTGTTTGAACTTCCATGTTCTCCTCTATGGTGAGACCATGCGCCACTCTTCCTCGACGTCAGCGGACACACACCACCTAAGCGCCACTTCTTGACCCTAGAAAATGTAGACTTTGTGTTTTCGATATTTTCTAAATTTTCTGTCCGAATTGTATGTTTGTGTTTTCAAGAAACAGAAAACATGTGTGCACGTCCACTTTAGAAATTTGTTTTGGAGTCACAAATTTCAAAAAACACTCCTCCAGAAGTTCATGGATTAATTACTGTCAAAAAAGTTCGTATCTTTGGTTTTGGGTCATCTTGTCGAGAAAAAAGGGCTAGGGTATGTTATAAGAACTTCAAAGTAACTATGACTTTTCTAGAGCTTTCTTTCAATGGTTGGACGTAATGCACAGGAAGTTCGATTTGTCATGCCCATGAAGTTCATAGGACCAAAATAATAACATACTTGTTGGATTTGCCGCAAAAAACTCGGGAGTATTAGATGTCGAACCATTCGTAAATTTTGGGGAGTAGAAAATGAAGTAAAAAAAGAGTTCAAAATTATTTTTGTGTCCCGTGATTCAAAATAGCCGAGGGGCACAAAAATTGAAAATTGAGTAAAATTGAAGAAAAAAACTCGTTTGGATTTCACCCGGAACCGTGTGAAAAAATATGAATATCATTGAGCAATATGTTGTGTTTCATCTAATAAAATATAGAAGTTCAATTAAAAAAATAGATGTTCAATGTTTAACCAAAAATATTGAAAGTCACTTTACAAAATTAATTCTCGTAAAAAGACGAGCTCCTTGTAATAAATTTATCATATTTGAAAAAACACTAAAAACATTGATTTTGAAGAACAAAATAAATAATAGAGCAGTTCAGCGTTTATTACAAAAATCGAATTTCTGAAGTTATTAAAGAATATAACAAGAAGTTCAAATTAAAAAAATAGAGTAGTTCAATATTTATATACCAAATAAGAAAACAAGCGTCGCCTAGAAAAAATGTTAACTCTCGAAGTTCGCATTTGATAAATTGGAGAGTTAGAACAGAATGTTATGGGTGTACAAGACGTATTCCCATGAATTCTCCTGCTATTCAAAATGGACAACCAAAAAGTTCAAATTAAAATAATATAGCCTTTATACCGTATTCTTTTTAAATAACCCCAAGAAGGTCAAATTGAAATAACATGACAATTCAAAAGATGGTTTATAAGAGCCCATTTATAAAATATGGAATTGCCGATTTCTAAAAAAAGTAGAAGTTTGAATATTAATGACGAAAAGGTTAGATATTTATTAGAAAATTAGGAGTCTCCCTGTTATAAAAGAATAACCCAAGAAGTTCAAATTAAAAAAATAGAGAAGTACAAAAATCACACATCAGTAAAAAAGGAAACATAGCACTTTGAAACGAATATTTCGCCATTTCTAAATAAAAAATAGGAAGTTCAACTAGGACTTTCCTCTTACTAATGCATAACACCAAGAAGTCCTAATTAAAAAAATGAAGTTGTTTGATGTTTATAAAAATACCAGATTTCCCCCGATACTAAATATTAAAGCAAGAAGTTCAATTTTTAAAAATGGAGTGGTTCAATGCGTATAAAAAGCTCAGTTTTTTCTTGTTACTGAAGAATAAAACCAAGAAGTTTGATTTTAAAAAGAGGAGTTCTTTGATATTTATTTGAAAACTCATTTTTTTTCAGGTTGCTAAAGAATAAAACTAATAAGTTCTATTCGAAATAACGAATAAGTTTGATGTTTCTAAAAAACTCCAATTTTCACATTTCTACAAAAACACAAAGAAGTTCAAATAAAAAAATTAGTGCGATTTGATGTCTATAAAAACTTAGATTTTTTCGTTACTAAAGCGAAATAGAGAGAAGTTCAAATTCAAAACTGTCAGAAGTTCACGTACTGCATGGTGTGTGTTTTCGTATGAGAAAATAGAATAAAAAGTTAAATTATAAAAATTTAGTTGCAAGAAGTTCAGGTGCTCGACATGGGAAAGTTCAAAACCTCTTGTGAGAGAGGTAATCAGCATAGTATATCATTTGTACAATTTCGATGAACAGGTGAGAAACTACGAACAAAAATACATGGTAGAAGTTAGAAGTGAAAACAGCGGTAAGTTCAACTACTACATGAAATGCATTTTCAATGAGAATAAAATGAATAAAAAAATAAAATTCTAGAAGGTTTGTTGCTAAAAGTTCACGTGCTCCTCCTCGTGAAATTCGAGATCTCTAGTGTGAGACGTCCGACTTTCAATTACATGTTAAAACAAGTAAAAACTCATGTTGTTTGTGCCATTTTTAATACTGCTCTCAAACGGCACAAATTTGTAACGACTGTCTAGATGAAAAAGTTGCTCCTATTCATAAGCTTTCCAACGGTATATTATATGCTACATTCTGATAAATGGTTTATAAGCTTTATTTATACCGTTAAAAAAATATTTGGAATCATCGCGAGTATGAAAAAGTTGTGTGTTTTCAACAGCTTTCCGTTGGTAGACCATTTTCTCAATTCCGGTAAGTGATTGGGGAGTTACGGGCAAAAAACAAACATGAAAAGCAGAGTGAACTTCGATCAAAATTGCTCCAGAAGTTCAACCTCTTCACGCAGTGCATTTTCGGAGACTCTGTTTTTGCGATGAAGGCAGAACGCATGATCTAAGAAGTTCAGATTGATAACTGCCAGAAGTTCACGTACTACATGGTGTGCATTTTGTATTAAAAAGCAAAGGCTAAAACTTTATTGTTGTAAGTTCAAGTCCTCGGTCGGAGAAAGATAAAAAAATTATTGCCAGAGAGGTTTGCAAAAAAAGGAATATCATTTTTGTAACACCGACGAATGGATGAGAAAATTACAAACGAAAATACTTCATAGAAGTTCAACTGAAAACAGCAAGAAGTTCGACTACTACACTGAACGAATTTCAGATGGAAAACTCTTAAAATCATCGCGAGTATGAAAAAACGATCAACACAGGAAAGTTGCGTGTTTTCAGCAGGTTTCATCGGTATATCAACTGCTCAATTCCGTTGAGTGGATGGAGAGCGACGAGCAAAAAAGCACGTGAAAAACAGAGTGAACTTCAAGTAGACATGCCGAGAAGTTCAAGTTCTTCACGTGGTGCATTTTCAAAGAATCTGTTTCACGATAAAAGCAGAACGCATGATCTCGCCATTTTCAAAATTACTTGAAAACGGCTAGGAATCAGAGAAAACCATCAACATGAAAAATTTCGCATTTTACTTAGCTTTTCAACGGTATATTATTTGCCCCATTCCGATAAAGTTTGTAGAAATTACGGCAAAAATACGTTTTTAGCCATTTTCAAAATTGTCTTAAAACAGTAAGGAATTGGGAGAAACAATATATACCAAAAAGTTTCGCATTTCCTCAAGCTTTCCAATGCCATTTCATTTGCTACATTTGGACATACGATTAAAAACTTAGCTCGAAAATACGAACTCGGTACAACTTGGACCATTTGATAAATCACTTTTAAAACGTTCAAAAATAGAAAAAAATCAACATGAAAAATTAGTGCATTTTCATAAGCTTTCCAATGCGATATCATTTGCCTCAATTGGATTAGCCGTTTAGAAATGACAACGAAAATACGAACTCGGCTGTTCGGTTTGCAAAATTTTACGATTTTCTAAATTACTCTTTAACCGTAGGGAATTAGAGAAAACTTTCAACATGTGGAAGGAGCGGTTTTGCAGCAGCTTTCCAATGCCATATTATTTGCCTCATTCCAATAAACGGTTTTCTCTATGAAGAAAAAATATGATTCATGCTTTTTATATGAAGAAAAAATGATTTTCAAAACTGCTCTTAAACCAATTACATTTTGCCAAAATTTTAATTTGGGTCATGATACTGGTGTCCATAGCTTTCCAACGGTATATCGCAAGCCCCATTTGGGCAATGTTGGTGGAAGTTCAACCTAGCACTGGGAGAAGTTCAGGTCGAACAACTCACGCAGTAAAATTGCAAAAGATGCAATTTCATCACGACCCGAGAGAAAAATCCGCCATCGAGCGAGATTCCTATTTAAAACCGGTTTTTAGTTGCTAAAAAATGTTTCTAGATTACACTAACATCATATAGGACACGACTAACTAGAATATTTCGCCGCGGAAGCCACGGTTGCGAAGATAACCCGAAGGTCGGGTTCGTACAGAGAGAAGTTTAGGCGCGTTACTCAGGCAGTTCAGGTTGTGATCATAATATTATTTTGATCCCGTGATCAGAATAGTGTTTATGTGTGTGTGTGTGTATATATATATATGATACTCCCCATTACAACCAGCCTTATACTCCCTCCTTTCCGGTTTATAGGGCTTATCTCAAAATTTTAGTTTTTCCATTTTATAAGGATCAATTTGGTTGTTTCCATCACATGTTCAGATTCCAAGATGCATTAAATCATTGCATGCAAGAATTAAGAGAAAATTGACCAATGCATGTACTTTATGCATGCATGCATTGCAATTAATGCATTCATAAACATAATTTTTTGAGGAAAACAAGAGCATTAATTAGGTGCTTTTGCAAACTACAAACTCAATTCAAAAATCTCACCAACCAATGTAGATGGTGAGTGGTGGGATACTTTTTGTAGTTTGCAAAACACCCAATTAATGCTTTTGTTTTCCTCAAAAATTTATGTTTTACAATGTATTAATTGCAATACATGCATGCATATATAAAGTACATGCATTGGTCAACTTTATCTTAATACTTGCATGCAATGATTTAATGCACCGTGGAATCTGGACATGTGATGGGGAACAACCAAATTGAGCCTTATAAAATGGAAAAACTAAAATTTTGAGATAAGCCTATAAACCGGAAAGGAGAGAGTATATATGCATGATACTAGTATATGATCGGCAATACCTCCGTAATGCGCTCATGCATAGTATCATAAGTTAGTATCTTAGGTTCCTTATTAATTACCATGCATGACACAAAGTAGTACAAAATTGGAGGCAAAAC